CATAATATCTAACCTGATTGAGGGCATAAAGTCAATGCCGCCTTGAAACCTCAGCTTGAATATTACCGGCGGAATCGAAGAAGGGGTGTTGCTATAAATGAAAACATGACTACACGCAACCTAAACATCGATCGCCGATAAATCATGCAAATCATGCTAATGCATTTCAGTCTGTCAACATTCTTACTCAGTCAGTAATTTCGTCCCACGCCAGTCGTAGCAGTGGAAGAGACACATGGGAAGTGTGACATTTCCGAGAGACGATAGAACACCCACTGCAGACACGAGTGTTGAATGTAGAACCAATTTGGTCACGGTCGTTGATACTATAACTGTCATTCCTAGGCGAAGATAAATCTGTTTTCAATGGTTTGGTTGTAAATACTCGCTGTAAAACAATTCTGTTCCGAAATATCCTCCACCTTGGCCATCTCGTCAAAGGACTCAAGGCAAGCGCAAATGAATGTCTACAAGAAACATCTTGCTTGCCCACCACTCTTACGATTCTTGGCTAATTGGTGGCAGACTTCGTTCTCGGTACGTGCGAGCATTGATTACGCATGAGGAGCATTCCTACATGTAACAAACCATCTACCCGACGAAGAACGCCACAGTAGCATGTTTTTGTCAAACGCCTGGTTCCGCTCCACCAAACAGACCCATAGGAAACTCCTCAATGCATGACCTCGCCTTGGAAATCAATATTTGTGCCCAGTAGCGCTAAGTCAAAGATGGATGCGCGGACCAAAACACTGCGGCTTTGATCCGGTTTCGAATGTTCACTCAACACCAACTCATGAACGCGCAACTGAATACGCGCGCTTCGATCCTGCCCTGGTTTGATTACTCCACGGATTCTTGCACCATGTGCTTGATATATCATTCGAAAGGTTTGCGTGGCTGAACACTCACCATTAGCATGAACCAACCCCTTTACGGTAGCCGTCGCCATTCGTGAATTTTTGAGCCGAGATCATTGCTGATAAATAAAAATGCGGTCAATATATTGACTAGACAACTGGAAGCGAGACGTTGTTCTTCATTTTAGGGCGGCTTGAGGCTCTGGACTTGACAAACTTGACCCACAGCTCGGATATCACGGCGGTCGTCTGCTGGGACCGGTGATAGGCTGTCTTCTCAATGGTTCGAGTTGTGGGACTCGAAGTGTTCTGCGCCAGTCTACTTACTGTTCTGCACCTCGGACTCACCCGAGAAGGATTGTGAGTATATCGGTTCCGAGACTGGGGCTGGTTCTAGATATCTTCATGACCGACCCCACATTAGTGGGTGAGCCGAAGACGAGAGTGTTTTGTACTTGCGAGCAAGGGACACTACGGTGCAGTTCTTGCCTGTTGAGATGAAGGGCCTGTGATCAAGACCTTGGCCTTGACCATGTCAGGGCTCATGGTCTACCTATCCATTGCGGGCCCGAGCAAAGAGACACCGGGAACATGGCTTGAAACATACTTCTAATCTGGCTCGTGAACTCATGCTCCTATCTCTGCGCTTGACAGGGACCGGTTCTACGATTGAGCCTTCCCTCACCCACTAACACGAGATCGATGTTTCATTCTAGCTAACAATGAATATGTGTAATTACAGGACCAATCTCATTGAAATGTTCACTTTCGCGGCCCCTATCGCTAGCATGAATCTGTTCGGGCCCAGCCTCAACAATTCAGTTATTGTGCTCACAATATATCTTGAGGCGCTTTTGTTCCACCGGGATAGTATCTGATAGGTACTCCATGGCCATGCCCCTGTATCTCATCCGAATCTCTCTATCGCGATGGCCGTCCTGATGGGGATTTCCTCAATCATTTTCTACTAATTGAGTAGTTCCTTTCCTTTTCTATCCACAATCGACATAATGTGGATCCTGTAGCCTGTATGCGCAGTTTATTGATGTAGGGTGGGGTAGATCAACGTACCATTCGACGCACAGTTACATCCATGATCTTTTAGACGACTATCAACTGTCAGCGATAGAACCTTTTCAGAACTCACTCATATCTCCAGCTCTTGTTTGCAATGTGGTATGACTGCTTTCGTCCATTGTCTACCAGATGTGCCGCTTCTACCATCCCAAGATGTAGAAACAACAGCTAGTATGGACGTCTATAAGATGTGTACATCCGTCTGCTCTCAGCTAACATACTAACCTCCAATTGAAAGCAAGATGAGGCTCTGATGGCGGCGGTCTCTGCGTCTATGAATTCGGCTCAATCTATCCCTGGCGAAAACTCTCAGGCATAGTTCGGCAATGAACTTGGCCTTTAGTAGGGGATCATCGTTGCCGATGAGAGCCAAGTTTTGGGACCTTTACAACGCCCCCAAGTCGTGACCGACAAACGATAACCACAGATCAGAACAGGGGTAGCTGCTTAGAAGTTAGTTATCAGAGTATTTTCCGAAAACTTTAATTTCATGGAGCATGAAACGTATGTTTAGAGATTTGTTAATATGATAGCTATCGCGCACCGAGTTATCAGACGGTTGGCGAGGCCAAATTATTTGACAATACCAATCTCATCAAGGTGCGACTGCGCGGAAAGATGTTTGGTTTAATTCAACCATGAGCGTCAAGGTGGAAAAGGTGGCAGGCAAAGCTCAGAAACAGAAACGAGGAAAGGCAGGGACACATGTAGATAGGAATTTATGTACAGGATTGTTGAGTGTACTCCGGGCTTGAAGTGTTCAAGGTTGAGGTATACTCCGTGCGAAGGCTGACGCTCGGCGAACACTCCGGGATACCCCAAAGAGGCCTAGCGCCATGCACCCCGCAATCTCCATGTGCGCCGATCTTCTAGCGCCAAGGCAGCACGGCTAATCCCGTAATGTGTGCAAACTCTTTCCCCTGATTCCGCCATCTCATCCACAAGCGCCTCATCGCGCCCTCTAGTCATGCCACGGCGCGACGTCATCAACGAGGCCGCCCTCGATGGGAAGTCTAAGCACTCCAACCACGCCACTGAACGAGCAGCGCTCAATGCGCTTGCCCGCATCGCCGACAATTGTTGAAACCACGAATACACACTTGGAGCATCTTGCGAGCTTACCAACAGCAGGACAATGACGCACACGTTCGCGGTTTCCTTCGACTCGGCCCATATCGTATCATCCTCGCTTGCTATATCACCTGCCTTGCGTCGCGCACTATGACCACTCGTAGAGAGTCAACGGACGTGTTGCTCGAACACCGTGACCGTCGTATCGCTATACCAGGCTGGCTGAAGCCACGGGCATATGGCACGACATACACCGAGTTGTTGGGATATGGTGGTATGACGTATACGTTCTACCCGGCAGCCACTGCGAGATTGGGACAGATACACGAGGATGGTGGGCATGGCTGGCATCGAGATCAGCATTCGTAGCGCTTTCGGCCTCGACAAAGCTCGTTACCCTTCGGCTTCGACATATGCAGGAAAGGCTGAGGTATGGCAGCGCGCTGGGTGTAGTGTGCAGAGTGCGATCTGGGAAGATGGATAATCGTGATGCCGGCGGCTATCGCTCGTCTATACTAGAGCATTATGCGTGGACTTCGATTATTAGTCGTTTTTGCACAGCGGTTTCGTTGTTGCTTCTGTAAAGGTTCGTTCTGCGAGTTCGGTTTTGTCATGTACATCGCCAGTAGTATTCATAACGAGCGTGCTCTTTATTGTAGAACAGTTTTTTGCAAACAGCACTCTTCTCTGTCGTGAAGGTTGCGATTGTAATACATATGCAGGTGACGTACCGCGCTCTCTTGAGCACTCGCTGGGTTTCGTTTTCAGTCCTGGTTCCTCCTACAATATGTAGCATTTCCTTTTGTTTCTTCCTTCCACACCCTTGAATGTTGTATATGTTAACACCATTCTTTGACTTCATTGTAAACAAACTGGTCTAATGCTAACTGTGCACTACCTGATGCTCCGAGTACGCACGCAAGGTTACAGATTATCTTTTCCGTTCTCAACTCTGCATTGCATGGCCGATGAGATCCGGACCCAATTGGGCAGCGGGGTTGGTAAATTCAACGCAGCGGAACGTTTGAGAGACTCCATGAACGAGGGAGGACGAACGTTGTGTGACGAGATCACACGCTCTATTAGTGAATATGTGGGTTCTATAGCTCCGGTAAGCTTTTTATAGCCAAAACAGCTGAAGGGTATGTGGTTGTGTTACTTGGGAAACTTGAATCTACTCGGTAATAAGATTGGCAAGAACGATTGGGTCAGTGTACGAGTTCTACCATGGGGAGACATGTGAACCTAGATAGATCATGATGATGCTTGTCCATATTCAGACTTGGCTGCGTGGAACTCCTGGCTGTGAAGAGCACATTCACCAAACTCGCGATGGCGGACTTATAAACCCCAACGCTGCTAACGATTAAGTGGAAACAGATGCAAGAACGACAATTACCCTGCACAGCTTCTCTTGACTTTCCGACACATGTGCAGAAGCGGTCAGTCCAACGTGGATCTCTGATTCGAAGTGCTGGTCCGAGGTTTCGGGAGTGTTCTTTGGTAAAGTAGGCGTTCGTTCCTGTCGCCTTTAGCGAGACGAAATGTCGCGATTTGACAGCGCCCAAAATCGAAAATAGTATGGCGCATGAGCTAGAACGTAAGCAGGGTCCTTTGGTGCATGGGCTAACGTTGCTTGTTCTAGTCGGAAACGACATGGAAGGTATTCGTGATCACGCCCGGTGTCGCGCGACCTCCGTGTTGGAGAAAGCGGGTAAGAGCGTAGGTGAATTTAAGCCTCTATAAACGGTTCCAGGCCGAGATTATCTGCGTATTGTTTTTCTCTCACTTGGTTTGCTTGTTTCCGAGAGCACCGGAGATAGGTCATTGTTGCTGATGATGATATTACCATGCGCTGTTGTCGTCGTGATGCAGGATCATGACCGAACGCCGAAGATCTCAGCGCTAGGGGTTCCTAGCATGATATCCACAAACCATTAATATATGCCCGTCGTTTCAAGAGCTGGCGTTCACTTCACCTTCTCCATGCTTCAACCAGATCCCTCAGGTCGCAGCTCGCACCATGATGGTGAAAATCACGTGCGCTCAAGCCCGCTTTACTGTTTCGGGACGCGTGCCTCCGCTCCCGTTGGTTTCACCGCAAACAACAATACCACAACAACAGTCGCGATGCAACCCGAGCAACATGCGCGCCAGCCTCCGCCGTAATTGTTGTTTCTGAAGTGCACTTGTTGATTGCGTCCGGCGTTCGTCTCCTGCGCGTGGCCTGCATCGACGTGGGCATGCCACCCACGACTAAGAGCGACATCGACCGCCTCCTCCCCACGCCAACCAACGGTCGCCGCAACGAGCTCGTTGCAGCCTTCTCTTCCCAATTTGCGACTCTTGCTAGCGACATCCTCGCCATCGAACAAACGCGCACCCGCAACGAGCTGCTCGACTATCTCTGGCTACCTGCCGTTTGGCTCAGCATTCACTTGTGCCAAGACCCAGACCGTGACCTCTCGTCGTTTGCGACTGAACACAGCGCGTAAGCATACTCCTAATCTGTGAATGTGCTATGATCGGGATTCAATCTCATGCCCTATCTTAATTGCCCACTTCCATTCAGACATTGCCTGACCTGCGTCCAGACCGCTCTCAGTCTTCACGGAATCTGTCAGAGGAGCTGGAGGCCCGCTCTACAACGTGCACCGCATCATCCACCATTGGGGCCAAGATTTCCACGCACGTCTACATAACAAGCACAACATCGAGTTACCACTCCGGCCCAGTCACCATCTTTTGGAGCGACTGGCTGCGGTAGCACGGAGGGCACCAAACATCAACACTTTCGCCGAGCAATTTGTCTCGTTTCTCCCAGTCCATTTCGCTACTCTCATCAAGCGGGATCATGAAACAGCTCTGTTCAATTCTGGCCACCGAGTAGTGCGCACGGGTGATATCGCTGCTTTCTACGACGACTTCTTTGTGACTTCGAAAGCTCCCACTACACCGCCTATCGTCCGCATGCCCACCAAGAGAGGTCCAACCAGTCCGCTACTACGTACCCGTAGTCAGAAAAGACTGGCTGTGGGTAAGAGTCAGACCAACATCACACCGACACCCAGTCGTCACAGAAACTCTGACATAGCTACCCCCGAGATTGGCCGGAGAGATTCCACTGCCGACCTGTCACTCAACTTCACTACCGACTCCCTGCTACGCGGTTCTCAACCACCCTCATCTCCAAATCTCCGCATCGAAGACAGCGTTCTCATCGACCAAAACGATACCACGAACTTTGACACAACAAATTTCGAACTACCCGACATCACCCTTGGCGAGATTGACGGGACATCTCAGTCTGAGACGATGAACTGCGAAATGCTAGCATTGCTGTACGTAGCTCTCAACCCGCAATGGTATTGGCTTGGCTAACTTCGCAATCGACAGCACAAAGCTGCAACCGGGTCTAGCCGAAGAACTCGAGAAGAACCGCACTCTCCAGACCCAGGCCGTCAAGACCACGCGGGATGCAGAGGCAGCTCGGGATAGCGCTGTCAAAGCAGTCGAAGCTCTACGAGACAGCATCGGCACAGAACTGCAATTCAAGCAAGGCGCCATGGTCAACATGGCCAATCTTCGCTTGGTCGGGGCGCAGATGGAACGCGAACTCACCGAGGTCGCTGCCCTGAGAGACCTCTACGTGTCTTCCGAAAGCGACGACGATGACGACAATGTACTTGTGCCGTCCTTGGGAAGCAAACAAGCAATGCTGCAAGCCGCAGAAAAGCAGGTCTCTCTTGCTGAAGGTCGTGTGAACAAGGTTCAACTGGCCTTGGAGAGGGTGGGCGCTGCGGAGAAAAAGCTGGCGCAGAAGTGGACGGAGGTATCAGCGGCGAAGCAGGCGGAGAAGAGCAGCAAGGCGCCTATGCTGGCGTTGGCGCAGTTCTGCTCTGGTGTTGGCGCAGATGGCACGTTTCCCGGTCTCTGAATGTGGAGGTCAAGCTCAGGTTGAGCTGTTTTGGAAACGAATGTAATAAGCCAAGCGATGATCGGTACTAAAATCCAAATAAAACCATAACATATCTTCCAAACTTCTATTTCAGTTCCTGATCTCGGGCTACAAATGACGTGATGGCTGTGTTCTGGGAATGCGGATCTCGTGTAGGCCGATACTCCTATGACGAGATAGGTGTCGCATCACCACTTCTGTCGCAGCTAGCACTGTGTTGAAGCTGTGGCAACAGCCGAACCTGAAATATTTCAAGACGCATGCAGCCAGTATTATGCCTCATCAGGAACTGCCGAGCAGAGGTATGGATATCTTTTGTAATCCCAGAAACTCACAACAACAGCAAGCAACAACTGTACTGCTGTTGTATAACGTTCCTCTCAATGCAAAGTACACTTGGGTCTTCTAATTTCCGCGTAGCACGTTCAATGCTTTTGTGACTTGTGTTGATATCCATCGACTGTCAATTCTCCCGGAAGAATCACGGAGGCTTCCCGCGCGCTCTCCTGAAAGGATGCCCCGTGCCCAATTCCAAAGCATCTAAGTATAGAATTGAAAGTTTATTAAAGTCAGATTGGATATGTTAGTAATGAACCATTTTCATAACTTTCGGCCGTGATAGACGCGTTCCTGGTCATTAGCACTGAACTAAAACTCCTCACAAGCTCTACTCTTTTCATGCTCTGTTTAGACCCGAGATCAGGCGCTTAAAGATCGAGAAAGATCATATTAACCTCTGTAATACCTCTTGGGGCTGGGCCTTTGGCTTTGAAGTCACTTGTGTAATTTCTCGTAATCCTGCGTCGTCTTGGTATTTGTTAATAGAGGCGAAGAAAACTCACGATCTATCCACTTATAAGCCGGTTCCAAGCTGAGATCGCGCTACTACACAAGAGTTTAAGGATTAAACAGTGCATAAGTCACTAAAGATACCGTATCTTAAGAACTACCTTTGAAGGGATAACCTACTCAAGGTTCCTTACATGCAGGAGGTCTCGAATCTATCACAACAGCAATACCATCTACTCTTTCCATGGTCTATGCCGAGATCAATAATCTTATATACCTGGAAGGCTACGAAGAACGTTCTCTTGTGCCAACAAGTATATACGAACACGAATACCCGTGCTAGGTTGTATCAGAACATCCTATTGCACTCTGTCTACATGCAGTGATTAACCATCTTGCAAGATGTTCCAAGCCGAGATCAGCCCTTATATTGAAGCAAACTAGCCATCCGGCTTTTTGTGTTGTTGAGAACCTCTGTGTTGGGGACTGTTCCGATAGAAGGGACAAAGTATATCCTTACTAACACATTACGAGCCAGCCTAAATACCTCCACTCATCTCGTAACCACCGCGTAAACACTCTCCGCACATTGCGAAACCCCTCGCTCACGCTTAGGCCCAAAAAAACCAAACAATCCCTACCGCCCATCCATCTTCTTCATCTCTGCCCGCCCCATATCTCCAGCTTTCTCCTCACGCCCAACCCCTCGCCAAAAGCAGATATCCTCCTTTCTGGCCCAAAGGCAGACCGTGTCAGCAACTCAGGTAGCAGCGACATCTACGCCTGCCGTTGCATTAGCCATATGCCCAGCGTACTACCCGGGCGGCAGCGGGAGGGTGTCTCAGGCGGGACGTCTTCTTCGTCTGGCTTCGACACTGCACATTGCGTAACCATGAACATCTTCCTTGAAATTACACCTCTGCGCCTGTGCGCGATCATTTTATCCGTACAACTTATTGTCTTGATCATGGTAGCTCACTTCTGCAGCCAGAAACCTGGCGGCTTTGGCGGGAAGAGCGGGCGTGTGGGTTCTAATGCGAGGACGAGGATTCTGCTGCGGTTGGCGAGGAAGGGCGCGAGCGTTGGGCGGTGCGCTCGCTGAGCGTGGTTTGTGGGTTGTGGTTGGGGGTAATGGGGGTGGCGCGGTGGCAGGGAGTGGTGAAGGGCATTTTGTGGGGGGAGGGGCGAGGAGGGCGGTCTGGAGAAACTCGTTGCTGGAAGGTTGCCCAGGAGCAGGAAGGGAAAAAGCCTTGCACGTACATGTCACGATGGATAACGATGGATAATCAAACGTGTGATAGCGAGAGAAGGGAGATAACATAATTTACATTGCTACTTTGGCTCCACGTTGACTTCAACACCTTGCTGAAGACAAGTTCAGAGCGGGGGAGAACGAGCGATTCTCCTGTGCAAATTCTGTCTCCTTTCATCCTCTTCCCAAAAGCGTCAATGCTGCGATATTCCCCAGGGTCGAGAGGGTACAATATCTCGTAGCACACTACCCCTCGTACATAATTCCTTACACTCCATCCCGAAGCTCATACCGAATTCATACCAAGTTCTGTCGTCGCCGTTTTCAAGCCCTGCGAGTTGGGATTCGAGGCCGCGGCAAGTAGTTATTACCACACGATGCGCAGAGGATTGCGGGTTAGATTGTGCCATCGTGGTTCTTGTCAATTTCCTTGACGTGGTAGATGCTTGAGGCGCGGCTGCAACTCGTGGTTTATTTCAACCCAGCTGTGTCCTGACCCCTCTCCCTCTGGTTTCCTTCTCCTCGCGCTTTGAATCCCTGGTTGAGCCTCAAGTGCGTCGGTTATTTCATCTCAGCCAGCGTTGATCAACTTCTCTCAGTGGGCTGCTAGGCATCTTGGATGACTTGGTGAATCCAGCGGAGTCATTCAAGGCAGCCCTCTGAAGCCCTGCCAGTGCAAGATTACCCGTCTGAGCAGCTTTTGAAGGCGACGTAGGATGTCAGAGTTGACGTCGAACTTCCTGAACATGACTAACCTCGTCCACCACAGCGTGTTTCATTTCAAACTCGTCTCCAGCGAGGCGTCGCATTGATCATACCCCATCGACACGCACCTTCTTGGCCCTCCGCGACAGCGACATGCGAGGTTCCAACACCGCCACCGGCTTGCCATCGAACGAGCTCCCCTCAGGTGTATCCGGCTCGGTATCATGTTCAGACTGTGTGGAGGCGCTGCGCTTGTTGTGCCGGTATTGCAGCACATCGGGGCTGGGCATGTCGTCGTCGTCGGATGTACCCAGGTCTGCAGCAGGCTTGTCGTCCAGCGTCTTGTTTGCTGCGTCTTCAGCCATGGCGAGGACGTCGGCAAGTTCTTGATGTGTGATGTTGATGGTGGGAGACGGAGATGCCGGGTCATCGCTCTTCTTGCGAGGGCAGAAGTCGCGAAGCGGGAAGGAGACGGTTGCAGTTGGGTCGACGACACCCTCGTTGTTATGGAACTCCACGCCGTCCTCGTCGCGCCGGGCGACGGTCACGCCTGTGTTGATGTAGCTGTCGCCTTGGCGCGTTCGCTGTGTTTGGAACTCCCAGACGTATATCCGCGCGCGTCGCGGAAGCTCTCGCGCATGGGGTTGCCTGGGTGCATGGTATTCGATGTCGACACCCAGAAATGTGCGTATCTTCCCGCCAGTGCCGAGCAGGTACTCCTCAGCGATGGCGGCAAAGTCGGCTGTCCCGTCCTGCGCCACAGCAACTTCAGCCACGAAGGGCGGGCGGCCGCTGCGGGCATGCGCGTGCAAGAACGACACGTCCGGCGCGCGCTGATTGCCGTCGCCGAGCTTCATGTTCGGACTCCCTCCCAGGCTGATGGCATGCAGCAGGGCGCGCTCCTTTTCCGAGACACGTGCCTGGTCGCGCAATGCCGTCAACTTGCGCATCAACAAGGCCTCCAGCTCCCTGACGAACTTCTCGTGCAGCGGCCCCGCCATGCGCAGGGTGAGCTCTGCCGTGTGCGCGTTGTAAGCCCAGTGTAGTTTGTCACGTGCCCAGTTGCCGAGTCGGTGGTCGCTAAAGACGGCATCTTGGAGCGCCGCGAAATGGCGCGACGAGAGGCGGAAGCGTTGCTCGGTCGGAGCGCGCCCGTGGTGGAGTCGGCGGATGGCTTGGAGCACCCTTCGCACGTCGCGATGGAGTTTGGCGCTCGAGAGTGTGGCCGCACTGCTTCCGGGGCTTCGAGGCGGAGACGGGGGGAGGAGTCGTTGCGAGGTCGAGTCGTGATTTGGACGCGGGGCCGCGGGCTTCGGGCTGCGCGGAGGAGTGGTAGCTGCGGCGGCAGAGGGAAGAGGAGAGACTGGGCTCATGGCAGTGGGTGGTATCGCAGAAGGCATGTCATTGTCGTGGTTGTGGCTGCCATGGCTTGCTGAGTCGACGTGCTGTCTTGGTCTGGTTGCGAGGCCCGTCATGGAGCCGCGCCAGGGTTCTGGCCAATCACACCGTCGATCGTCACGGGATTTTGACATCACGTGCTGTGAATCAATCTCCCTCATCAAAGACAATCAAAATCACTGGTTACGAATTCCATGGTCTTCACGCTCAGATGGCATTGGGAAGGTGTTCCAATCAGCAACTGTCCATGCAAGACTGTTTATTGGCCCAATACGGCTTGGCGCAACGTAATCAGGGCGCGAGGGGTTTCTCGAAACACCCTCAGGAATTTCATTCATCTATCGTTGCTTGTAAGTGCAGCCGTATCTCGCCCTACTGCTAACTTCCCAAACGCTCCGCACTCTTGAAACAATTTCGATTTTCCCAGTGCCCGAGCGAAGAGTCCAATTCCCGTTGTATTACAGTCACGATATAATGCAAACCCATCAACTATATCAAGTTGGGTCAATATCTACTATTCCTACAATTACCACACTTACAGCAAGAGCATTCGATAGGGCAAATTCGGTTCCTTGCTCATATAACCTGCAGAGTTTAACTATGTCCACTGCACCAAGCTATCAAATCTTACCGTACTCGAGATCGAAACGAACTGTCTCCGCCGAGTCTACGCTTACTATGTCGTCCAAGGTCGAGCGTATCTGAGAATGCGACTATTAGCACCTCATCTCCATAACGAACTGGTATTATGAAAGCACTTCTCTTCCCGATGACATTGTTCGATCAAATACACAACAACCTCGCCTCTCGCTGTGGCATCGTCGTACTTCGGTAATGTTGCCATTGTCATCTCACAGTGATATTGTAGTGGAGGCTGGAGACCATAACATATATATTTTCCGTCAGCCGATGTTCTTGTCGTGCAACTTCTCTCATCATTCAACTCTATACTCTCACGACCTACTTCTAATCTACCATCATCGACTCCACAATCTATCTGGCCCAGACACCTAATTAGATCGCCTACTTACAGCCCGGCACCGCAATGTCACGTCAGGAACCTCATCCTGACAGTGCCAGACTAGCTCCTCTGCTGGACAGAGAAGCAATCCAGCGCACATTCGGGTACTCGGACGAAAAATACGAGAGCGCGCTCCAGAGAACGCCTAACTTACTTCATGCGATGGACCTGCATATTGAAAGGGAAGACGCTGTTCGGCTAAGCCAGGATAATAAGCGATTGGACACGCAGAGCTCAGATGCTGCTAAGACTGCCAGCTCCCGAATCGAAGATCTCGAGCACCTTTTAGGTATTCGAGAAGAGGAAAACCGGAAAATAACACAAGAACTACAAGAAAGCAAGGGTATACTGAAAAGCGCCGACAGAACTTGCCGTGAAATGGTGGGTCGTTATCGAACTCTCAAATCGGACAAGTCACAAGTTGACACTGCATATAACAACTCTATTATTGAGTGCAACGCTCTCAAACTCAAGCATAGCCAACTCCAGAGTCAGCATACTGCCCTTGAGGCTAATCGCGACCATCTTCAGACTAAACTCACAGCCGCAGAGACGAAATGCGAAGATCTCCAGTCTAAGAACACAAAGCTCCAGACCGAGATCAGCAACCTCCAAAGCAGATACAATCAGCTCCAAGTTTGCAACGACGAGCTGGTTGGCATCAACAAGCAAGTCGAAACCAAGAACCAAGAACTTCAAGATAAAGTCAATGATTATAAAGAGCTTGCCGACAAACTTTTAGACCTTAGCGAGCGATGCGAAGTCGAGAACCGAAAGCTCCAGACCAAAATTTGCGAGCGATGCGAAGTCGAGAACCGAAAGCTCCAGACCAAAATTTGCAAATTCGAAAGCAAACACAATGAGCTCCAAGCGAGCAACGACGATTTGATTAGCATGAACAAGCATGTCGAAGCTGAAAACCACGAGCTTCAAGATAGATTCAACGAGTGTAAAGTAGACAACACCGTCCTAGAAGACTCGAGCAAGCAACTCAAATCTCAGATGCAAACCCTTCAATCACGCAACGACGTTCTTGAAGACACCAACAAGCGGTCGCAGGCCTACAGTGACGCCCTGATTAAGGCGCTCAGCGACCTCGAAATTCGCAACAATGACGTTGAACGAGAGAACGGTCAGCTACGATCTCAGAAGCAAGAGCTTCATGAGATCATTGAGCGATCTATGACTTAGTGAGCCTCTTCCTTTGGAGTACTTTATTAAAGTTGAACTTTCTGCTCTTGGAAGCCGACTATACCGCTTGTCTTGCTGTTAGTAGCGTCGATAGTGATGATTATATTCATTTCCTGTCGTCGCTGACTCTCCAATCCACCGAAACCGATGAAAATTACGCGAGCAATGATGAGAACATCGGCTCGAATAGTAACAGGGATCCGCTGAATTATAATATAAGCTTTCGTCTGCACAGCAGCCGAGGGACGGTTGCGGTGCTAGGAATCTGTGGGCTGACTTTGCTGATGAGGTATTTGGTACAGGACAGCAGGAGTATGGCGGATATCCATGTGATCAGGTAAAGCTTACTGAGCTACGATGTTTGCGTTCAGTAAGGGTAGCCCTTTGACTTCTGAATTAGAACATTTCATTTAGCAATGCTATGATCCCTTCGTAATATTACTCACCTTGCCTCCCGCTCTCTTTTACAATCATGCTTGCCTGTAGCGTTCCATCCGATAGAAATCAAATTCGATTACTTCTTCTCATTCGCTATTGTGGAGCACCAGCGCCAATTACCTGTTGTGCCAGGCCAGGAAATGGGTTGTCACATTCGATGTAAATATAAGTAACACCACTCTGAAAGTATAACCGCTTCTGGTGAGATGGCTATCGATCTGCCACCGATATCCAAGTCCAGCAAAGCCCAATGAATAAACATCTCGCCCTTAGACAGAAGTCTGGTCATGGCATACAGCTTCAGCACCCTGTCACAAACTATAAATAGTAACACCACTGCTTCAGTGCATCTAAGTTCGTCGAACCGAACATCTCTTACTACACGACCCATAGCCTTCAAGTTCATAGTAGCAAAATCAGCTGGTGAGAGCATCGACTACGGTGGGAGAAATTTATGCCCGTGTCCAGGCCGGGTGCCCGTGAAACGAGCTTACTGTCCTCGTCCAACTTCTGAACCTACAACCTAGCCGTAGGTAAGAAAGACGTGTGTAATCGAAGTTTGTAGCATATGGGAGAGATGGCGAGACAAGCAGTAGTCAGATAGGTGAGCGTATTGTGTATGCGTAGCAACTTCTATAACGTGTATGAACCTAATAAAGTATTGATCTCGACTTCGTAAATGTCCATATGGCTTATCGGTATGATGAATTCTGATCCATTGAGTTGCTAGGTGGGTATCAATGCAGCGGAACGGTTGCCACCATAATGGCTGATAGGTGAGGCTGCTTATGCCCAAGGATAGAAAGGCAGAAAGAAACAGGTACTCCGAGCTCGAGATGATGATGAACGCCTGGGTCATGTGGGAGATAGGTCGATGGGCGAGCAACATCCACAGTCAATTGCTGTAACAAATCTACGAAAGGATTTTGTGGTTGAGAATGGCGAACTTCGCAATGTTTGTTATTCTCATTCAATGACGGGTTGTGCCTTCAGTGGTAGATTAGCAACATTGTGCATTTTGAGCGAGAGACTTGAAAATTCTGTTCGAGCCAGCGGAGAGTCCTCTCTACTGCTCCATGCTCAGCCCCGGGATGTGCTATTTGTCATGGAACATAGCCTATGTGCAGAGTCTTCCAAGACAATCGTCGATATGCGCAAAGTCAGTCTTTCGAATTACCCGATATTCGGCGATATGAATCGACTTCATTTTTCCAGCCGTGTAGTCTAGACCAGCGATTTTGATGGCGATAATCCAGTGCAGGATGAGGCTGGCTCCGATCTCTATGGCGATTTCCTTCTCTAGAGCAACTTGATCTATAGCTGAACATCCTGATGTGAGGATGATAGTGTGATTGCCAACAAATGACTGATGTCAGATGCAAGCAATGAGAAAGTGGATTGAGGCAAGTGTTCGAAGCATATCGTCATGCGCAGACTGTCAAGGTTGTGAACAATGACTTGGAAGAAGAGTCATATTGACGACAGATGGAGAGGCATTGAGAATAAACTGCGGCAGACCGCAGCCTCCTGCGACATGCATCCCCAGGGTGTAAAACTCATTTTATCCCCGCAGACGGCTACAGGTTACCATCGGCCAAGCTGTTGTTCGAGCATTCATCATTCACGACTTTGTGTCGGCCCCTGCTTCAAGCACTATGTTGGGAGGATGAGCAAGGCGACACGATGATGAGAACTGACGGGGTTGGATCAGGTCGAATGGTGGCGGAAGATTCACAACTCACATGGGGAGTCCGCACAAGTTTTCCGTCACGACTACGAGTGGGCAGTGACATGTGTTTGCAGTTGATGAGATTTCTTTCAACATGGTCTTTTCTACACATCACGTTGGGTATCATTGTGAATAAAAGTCCAGTACTGCTTGGCTCGCTCGACTCTCGTCGCAGTTGTAGTCTCTGAGAAAGAGAGAGTTAGAGAAAGCGGAGTCTTGAAATGTAAGATGTAGGAACCGCCCATGAGATGCGACGAGGACTGTCAAGGTCCTATCTGCCATCCCTTCGCCACGTTATTTTCAAGTTTGACTAGCATGCTTACTATGGTAGTCACTTAATGTTCTCACCTCCGCGTTCTGATCGGCGACCTCGCTCATTGTGACCCCTGTCTGTTGTCACCTATCTTGGCATGGAAACGGACAATCTCCTCAATGAGCAAGCTCTCAGCAAGCTCACTGGCGCATCTCAGGACAATGGGCCGAATCGCTTCAGCTGGATGGTTTTGTTTGAAGTTGACTTCGAATGCCAACAGCGAACGCTGCCATGCTCTCTCCCAGTGGAAACTTCAAATGTCCGAGTGTGTTGTGGCCAGAATTCCAACGCGATCTCGTCGTAAATTCCTGACAGCATCAATTTGTCTATCAAGGAAGCAGTTGCAAGTCCAGCCGACTCTTGTTCTAATATTACTGTGGAGTTTTATGAGGTTTTCAGCCCGGGCTGAGCATGCACTCAGGTCAATTGACGCACTCGTTCAGCAGGTCAGTGCTTTGGTTGAGACGAACCTTTTGATGTTCAGCGACGACGGCCTCTACAAAAGACTCGCCTGTCCACCCCTATACGTGAGAAAAATATCGAAGATCTCCTATACCCAGGGCATCATGATTCTGTCGTCGAGCCTATTAAGCTCTTGACTGGCGGTTTCACCCACGTCAACATGCCTCTCCAGACACTGAGATACAGTATGTACACGTGTGCCGGTTGACGATTTGGTGCAGCTTATCGCAAGACAACTTTTCTGCCAGCGTAGATCGCCACAGGGTATCGTCCTCGGAATGATTGCAGACGCCACCGGGTATCATGCTAGATATCATCTTCGTTGCTGTTAATTCTGACACTCAAGCAATTATACGCTTTCTCGAGTCTTACATAACCTCAACTTCAAACCGCGGCAGGAATCTTGGAAGTCTTGAAAGACGGTCCGCTGAGCTTGAACATCCACCCAAAGAAGTTCCAACACGAGATCAAGACAGAATCTTCATTATTAGTGCTCTCATCACCTTTGAACTCATCTTCGCGGGCTGGAAGTATCTTCAAACCTCTACAAGATAACGCAAGCGTCATAGTGAGTAGCTCACCCTACGACCACGGGATCTCAAGCAAACTGAGTAGTACCGAGGACAATGGCTGATAGCGCAGATGAGTACAGCGCTGACCCAACGCTCTAGCTACTTGTGACATGAATCTCCTCGACATTCTGCATTTGCTCGCCCAGCTGTGTCGTGCCGCGCCCTGCTACCCTCATTCAAGCTCCGGTGTTTTGATCAGGTAGACTGAATTCAGCTTCGAACGTCATCGTTACCCAACTAAAATATAGCCTGAGATTTCTTTCCAGAGAACTGTAGCAAAAGAAATCGAGTATTCAGGCACGTCTTCACGCTCTCGGTTGTTGGTCCTATCCTGCGAGTTGCCGATAGATACAAACAACTTCTCAATTCACTCATCCCCTTCGTCAATCCGGCTCACAAGCACACCATTGTCTGCCCCAGCTACACCTTTGACACGTCTTACCCTGCTGACTAAAATCAACAGCCTTGGTTAGCTCATCCACATTCCCTGTCATTCATTCATGATCGCCGATAAATCCTGCTCCAATTCGCCATTGCTGGTGTATATCTCCCAGTTCATTTCTTTTCTCTATCGTGACCTAGCACGGAGATCAGCGGTCCATACAAAAGACCCTTCCTGCTGGCCGAGATCAGGTTGGAATCCAGAAGTTACCTCAGAGTTCAATTATCGCTCTGAAAGGTACGAGAAACACATCATATCATCCATTTTTAAGATGGATGCCTGGACTTTATGTTATCAGGCGAGCTTCCAAAAATTCCAGGACGCTCTTCTACGTTGCATAATTCCCATATACTCAAGATTCCCTATTACAGCAAGCGATATCCCTCGCTGAGATTTTGACACGACGGGCAAGACATGGGCGCGGTAAACAACCAATTTCACCGCATATGAAGCTGTAGGCGTCTTGACGTCCGTGCAGGAATCACCATAATTTCGTTAATCTGACCAAGTCGTTCTTTTTGCTCCTGCTCTCCTCACTTTCTTCTCTCCCTTCTTGCTTCCCATGCTTTTGACACGCTCGCACCATAAAGTGCAAGAGTCTCATGTGCGAAACTGTCGCTCGTCTTGTGACAGCACATAAACACGGGTTGCCCATATGTTCCTTTATCTCTCTCAGAGCTTGCTCTATCCGTCGCCGTCAAGGCTGGGTTCAGTGCGCCGGCGACGGCGGTTCATTATACTAGAAATCACAGTTGCGAGCAAGCCAGAGAAGGGCTCTCTTCTCAAAGGCCTCACATATCTGGGGCCCCAGGGGCATCATTATCAGCTGATGTGGCTGTATGAACACTCGCCACCAGCATTAGTTAAACCATCACACATTTGCGACGCTCCGCCTAATTAACTCCCCCACCTCCTGCAAACTGTCAAGCACATCCAACTTCAAACCCGTACGATCTCATAGGCAGCAGCTTTGCGACCCCTACAATTCTCGCTCTCTACAGCGCGCCGGCTGTTTTTGTCAATCTCCTCAGTCAACAACCAACCCTTGACGGCAATAGCGATCGTAAACGTTATTGTGGTAGGACATCCTGTGAGCATTGGAATTGATCTCGAGCTAACTTGATCTGCGCGACTGCGTCCTCAGCGTCCTGGATGAGGAGCAGGTGAATAATATCATTTCGATCGGCTTGGCCCGCGCAACTTCCCAGGAAGAGACCATCAATGAATGCAGCAAAAACGTTGAATACTCTCAGCACGATCATGGATACCCTCAATAAGATCGTTGACATCCGGTTCAGCGTCGGCAGCCAAGATCTGAAAAAGAAGATATCGACAACCACAATTACCAGCAAGTGTCTACGCTTGTGAGACGAGATCAACACGTCTAAGTACTCCCCTATAGCTGTAAAATCCCAATATGATAACAAATCCCGGGAGCAGGTACAACAGCAACGTAAGATATGAGGACGTTGAAGACAGATCCCCAGTGGAACGGACCATTCACATTCTATTGGCGGAAACCTCTCTACTACTAACGACCATACATGTAACAGGAATGAAGCCATGTACGTTGCTAGGTAGACTGAAGATTACAAGTCTTCTGACGTCAGCAAGGAATAAGGCGGCATGTCCCAGGTTTTGTTAGAAACTCTCTGTCCGGACAGTGGCGCCCAGGACACAGTCCCACCAAGCCGGGGTTATAATTTGAAATAGAAATCCTTGCCCTCGCTCTAAGTCCGTGCCCTGACTTCCATCCATGCCCACTTGAAGACAATCCCCGCCGTGACTGCGTCAAGAACCGCAATGCCAGAAAATAAACAGCCGGGGCCTTTGGCCAATCTGCTTTGCTTTTTCCTCGTATGCTGATACAGGAACATGGCCTTTCACATCCATCAGGATTGACGAGTATGATATCATGCTACATAGCCGAAGCACCGCGTCCCTCCGGACTGGGCACAACAGCTCATGAGCCATCGCTGAGGACTAGCAAGTCTACGCGCGACAGCGACCTGATCGTTGCCAGTGTAAGAGCGTCAAAGAACTAGACCGATCATAAATAGGCCCTTGAGCGAGCACAGTGCGATGTCAAGAACCGTCATACAGCGAACGAGGCAGACCGAGACAGCGTTCTCTTTCCAGCAGGCGACGATGAGATCACTCACGAAGGAAAAGTCAAGGTCACTTCCGAGCTAGCTACAGGAGGATCAAACCAGCTTGGCAGCGAAGACTCGCCAGGAGACATGGAATATCCGATTGAACAAAGGGCACTCGATTTTCATAGAGTCAACGAAAAAGTCGATGAAGTCTTTGCTTTGTTAGTGAGAAACAGTTCGAAAAGATATGAACGCGTCGTCGTTGTTGCAACAACTCAAAACGATAACAACATGCTGCGGTTTGGTCCCAAGTGGAAGGTTGCCATCGATATCGCCATCTGTGAGCAGCTCGTGCACGACTTGTAGCCGAGTTTCGAGAACTAGACAGAGACGATGCGTACAAACTCGCTCTCCATCGCTGTTGTCGCGTTGGGGGGGGAGGGGGAGAAAGTTCGGGGAGCGCGAGCATGGAAGGGTGCAAACCATGACCAACTACTCAATTATATGAGTAATTCCACAAGGGTGTACACGTAGAATATTCTCAGCAGACTACGCCAAAGGGGTAATTGCATTATAAACACGGTCGTTCCGACGTCTGAGTTTGTACATCAATCTTCCGGCCTTCCATAAGATCTGGGAAGACACAATGCTTACCTGAGGACGTGGATAGATTGAGCTGGCCTACACACCCCACGCATAAAAATTCATCAGCGTGAATGTGGAGCAGAGCAGCTCCCAGTTCACCGCCGAGAGCACTTCTGTTCGCGTACGAATCACACCGATCGCGTGGTATTCACGACAAACCGCTGCTAACCTGGTGCAGAGTGCTATAAGGTGCGACCAACTATCTCACACTCACAAAATGAGCATCTCCTCCAAACCTGCATATTACGCATATTCTCGCCTCTCATGAATATCCTCATCCTCTCGCGTTTTCCATTTGCTGCGTTCTATGTTCGCTAGACCTGCACGACCGCCGCACCAGTTTTGTGCCCTCCCCGTGGAGTAAATCCCGTACATCACACATACTAACCGGCCGCTTCACTGAGGTAGGTCGAGATAGGTCGAGGCCCGTATCTTACCATTTCTCCTATTTCCTCCGTGTTGTATTGCACTCGCAGCCATATTGCTTATGAATTTCTTCGACGCGATCACCTCTTCCACCGACCTTGCGTGTACACGCCAATCGATGAAAGCTTTATCATGTTCCGAGCCGATATCATGTTGACGCTTCCTCCCCTGTTGCACGTCAGCTTTGATGGATTGAGGATCCAGTCTCTCTAACACGTAGCCGTGATCCAAAATTGATTAACGTGTTTTCTTCAGGCTGGCAATCATGATGAAGTAAGCTTCCTGGATAACGCTTTGCCAACCATCCCATATCGTCGTCTAGCGAGGAATCTCCTGCAGCTACTTTCAACGTGCTGCTCTCGCAGTATTCCTGGACATTCTTCCACAGTACAACTGCCTGAGCCAGCCTAGTGTTCGAAGTCAGCGCATCCTTGCTCATATATTGAAGTTCCTCGCTCCTGCCCCCAAGCATGGTTTGGAAAATTTCTGTCTGACTTTGCCACTGGCTCCCCACTCAACAATGCTCTGTTTTCACGACTACCAGATGACGATAGTATCTTCCATCATTTCCAGCTTGACATGCCCCGCCACGCCACACCGAAGTGGCACCCTATCCTTGTGCAGCTTACCGTCAACGAAGTCCATCACTCTACCCCAAAGACCCAACATAACACACTCAAAGAATATGGAGTACATGTGCAAAACTACATCTCCAGACTCTTTTCTGTGTAATGATTTATCCGATCTTATGATCTCGGGGCACACTTCATATGTTGAGAAACTATAGAGGCTGGCCGCCTCACCGCTGTACAGCACGCACACCTCCGATTTGTCATGGGAGGACCACCAACTTCGTCCGCTCTCTCCGTGGAGTTTAATCTGCCTACGGACTGCCCATCAATATTTAGTTAATGTCAACGCACGATCATAATTATTCTGCTGGCTCGCATGATGTCCGTAAGAATAATACCTACCGGGTCACTATACATTGCACAAGTCTATCCTTTGACTGCCAACAAACAAACCGCATGATGGAGGATTAGATAGAATAGAGAGAATGGAACCAACGAAGAGAACCAAAAGGCAGAATTGCAGCGAAGAAATATGTAAGAGGGAGCCATGGGTTCCGGCACTGGCGATAGTAGCGAAGAGTAGGTCCGCAGCTGAATGGACACAAGCTTCGTCCATCTTCGGCATTAATAGTAGTACGATGAGAACGAGCAAAAAGGCTGGTATATCCATGTGCCGGCTGACTTGGGACGGATATCTCTTGTCGACCTCCCCATCTTCGGCACTGTCACCTCTACCACCACCTACATCATGACAAACTCATTGCATTGCCGCTCTCGAACCTCCAGCGAGTGATTATCCTTGGATGTCCCTAGTTTGCGTGTTCACACAGCCATGCCACGCTCACCAAATCCCACCACCATGCGAGAAGAACGAATCTAGACCAAAAAGTAGCTGCAACACTACCCGTATTGATTTTTTAGTTCTATATAGCCACATCAAGCTCTGACACGAAACAAGAACAAGAGAAGTTGGCAGTAGTATCAAATAACAAAAGTCAAACAATTGCAAAGATTTCCCATTGACCAACTTCTGTACAAGGTAATGCAGTATCGTATCATGCAGAACGGTAATGAAGCTATGCCATATCATGATCTTCCCGCACATGCAAGGGTCTCCGCATAGAGCTATCCCAGTCCGTTCCCAAGAACCGGTATGCCCAGGCTAAGAGGTAGCTACAACAGTGTCCTCCCATCCCATCAAGCACAACCCAAGACCGACCGCAGAGCGAGTCGGGTATGGAAGCCAGCCTTCAGGCCGCGGGTGCGACTGTATAGGCGGTCCGGCAATACGGACAATTTGCCTGGCCTTGGTTCAGGTGGTTCGTGGGATCCCGTTGGGCTTTGTGCCATTCTGTTAAGTCGTCGATGCAGATGTCTTGCTCTGCGGGAATGTTAGCTGAATGATTGAGCAAAGGAAGATCAGAACATACTGCAGCAAGGCATTTTGATGAAGCCACCAACGTCTTCGATGGTACCGTAGCACACGACACATTCCTTCTCCGCGTCCGTGACTTGTGGCTGTGTCGCCGTCGCGGCCATGTAAGTTCTATCTTGTTCCCTGGCCGCCGTACGCCGAGCAAACCTTTGCATCAACTCTCTACGCTCCCGCCTGTAGTGTCTCGTCCTCTGCATGAGGCGTGAACGGCTCTGCTCGATTACCTCGTTGAATATTGCCATGGCCTCGGCCTTTCCTGCCTCGGAGTCGATCTGCCGGACAAACTCCCGGACCTCCAACCTGACCTTCCCTATCTGCCTCAAGGAAGCGGGGAGATCCTTCCAGAGACACCACGTAATGGGCCAAGGCACACCGTTGGCGTCGGTGCCTGACCAGACGATCTCGCAAAGTGTTCCTTCGCGAAGACTCCCGTGGTGAACCATGCGCACGTCCCCAACTCGCCGCGTCTGCCAGAGTAGGCTCGCCGTGGCTTGTGCCGACATCGTGGTGTATTCGAGTGATTCGCAGCTCGGCGGTTGAAGGCAGGGCCGTAGGTAGCAGAGCGATGCTACTCAGGCTGGAAGAGAGCTTCGAGGACTGTGGGCGTTACGAAAAGAAGGTCAAAAATCTGGGACGCAAATGCATCCAGACGTGTCGCTGGGGGATGTTCGTGGGAGAGCGGGGAGGCGGTGGTGGACGTGTTGGATTTGTTTGTTTGCTGCCAAGGCACCCGCTGGAACATACAGACGAAGCGACATGTCGAGTGGGCCAAGTGGATAAAGCGACGGGAGGCTGCTTTTCTTTCACTCTTCAAGGTGACGTTGACGCTGCTACCCGGCGTTGATGTGGTTAGGTTCCGGCAAGCCAAGTCTCTCCATCTTTTCACTCGTCTACTGATGGAGTAGCTAACCGACTGAGTTAAATGTTAGCAACCACCCTGGCGTCCAGGCCTGTGGATGTGGAAATATGTGGTGTGTTGGAGAAACAAGTTGTGTGCCAGGGTCAATTCAGGCGCTTGTGTGTTCCTGTTCTGTAAGCATCGACGAGACGTGCATATTCTGTAACCCGTGCAACTCGGTCGGGCAAGTTGTTTTCACCTCCTCTTTGCCGGGATCAAGGCCGACAGCAGGCGCCAGATCGCGCTCGATCACGACGACCAGCCCATCATCCGCCCTCACCTCGCAACCGACCTCGACGACATCTCGCAGTACGAGGATGTTGAGATCTTTGACTAAGGCATGTGCAACTTTAATTCCGTCTACCAGGTTTTTGCGTTCACTGACGTCCACTGCAACATCTACCGCGATCTTCAGGGCTGCGTGAGGTGAGGGTGTAGGAGAGGACAGAGCGGGCCATGTAGCTGGTCTATTCGATGCACATGTCGTCACATGAACGTTCGTTTGATCTGTCTTGTTGAGCGAGAGACGCGGAGTTCACGTGGCGATGTTGCTGCTGCAGCTGAAGGCAATGGTGGTGACAATGTACGCGTTGCGGAGTCGACGGGGATCCAGTAATCTGCCAATCAAGGAGGAGGCGAAACGTGGGTCACTCACGAGGTCGATAATCTGGGAACGACCGGAGGCTTCAGCCATCAAGCCAGGTAATCCATTCGAATATCTTGCTACTACCCGAGATCAACCCCCCACGATCAACTGTTTATATTAGAAAAATGTTCCCAATCCCTTCTCTGGCAATGGCGCAGCAGGTTGGGCGCGAATAGGCAGGAAGGTTGAGTTGTGAGCCGGTACCGAGAAACGCGCGCATCACCATGGAGGCAAGCGCGCAGGACGAGATCAAGTCGTGGCTAGAGCGGACGGAGTAGTCCAAGTATCTGGCAGAGCTGGGCGACCCGACCTGCTGGCATGCATTGAGAAGCCTACCTCGGACCCGACGAAAGTCGGGGAGTCCGTCGAGGCGGCTGTATCGAAGGCTGTAGGGTTACGTACACCGCTATATGCCGACTAGTTCCTTGAGTTCTTCCCAGAGAGGTTGTACGAGACCCAGAAGCTGTGCCCGCAGTTTTTTGTCGCGGTACTGAGCCTGTCTATCACCCGCAGGGAGTATGACAATCTGATAGTAAGTGCATTGGCTGTGTTGAGGGTTGAGGAAGGTCCTGAGCTGCATTCACATATTTTTTCGGTAGTTATCGGTCTTTAGTCTTGCAGCAGGTGATGAAGTTGTCCGAGCCGTTTGGAGTAGCTGATTCCATCAGCGACAACGTAGAGTATCTGCAGTTTATGCAGAACATAACGGATAGATCCATGGGGTGAGGCCCGACAGAATGAGTTGCCAAACATGGATCTACACTTCAACATGGCGCAATACTTCGACGTAGTGCACAGGTTGAAAATTGAAAAACAAAGGTTGTTGATAGATAAGTCAGTGTTTGGTGCAAAACGTTCTGATAGTCGTCCGGGCTCCCAAGCCATGGATGGAGGTGAGTGTTTGAGGAGTGAATTGGACAGGACGCTGGTTCATAAAGCCGAGAATCCTTGCTCGCATCGAAAGGCTACAAGTAGAGCGGAAAATAGACTGAGTTATTATCATTCGAGGGGTGCTAGTTGTTTTGACGCACATTGCGGCTGGAGGGTTAGCATTATGGCCCGAGATTGTGAATGTTTAAGTTAACAACCCAGTTGAGGCAGGCAACGCAATATGTTGCTCGCGACAGAATGATGGTGGTCCTTATGCGGTATCAGAAGGAATACGCAGTTAGTAGCAACCCCAAGAGCATTTACCTATATCTGCCGCGCCGGGTGGACAAGTTGGCTGGAAGTGATAGTGTGAGAGAAACACGTGATCTCGTTAAACGTGTAGCCAATCAATTCTAGCAGACGCATGTAGAAGAGTAACAAGCTGCACGAAGCATTGAAGTACAAGAGCAGGGCGGGATCAGAGCAGGTGCTGACGATTGCAGCCTAGCATGAGATTACTATTGGGATTAGCCGTATGTTTTCATATTGATCCATGAATTTTAACACATGAGACGAGGACGGGAACAAGGCCCGGAGCAAGGAGAAAGCAGGGATCGCGATTCTGCTGACGTGAAGGTAGTTTGTACAGTGCATATTGCGGGCGTGATGAACGGTCAAGGCTTCATGGAGCTAGCTGCGGCAGTAGCAGACATGAAACAAACTGACGTCGTCTTTTGAAGGTTCCGCACCGTTGAGGAGGAGGATATTGCACTAAGTGGAAAAGGGCGCTGTTGAAAAGCAAGGCGGACGAGGTGTGGATAGATCGATGGGCTCGGCTGAAGAAGATGGACATCACCGCCTACTTGCAGCTGATAGTAGGTAAGACAGTGAACTCTTGAGTAGAGATATATTGCAATTGCTTACCTCAGGTTTGTACAACCCACTCTTTTACATACTGATGCGGTCCATCTCTCAGCATCACCAGCCCGCGACAGATATCTCAATCACACCAAGGCCCACACCTGGATTTGCATTAAAACAAAGCCGCAAGTCGAGATCATGTCTTAAAGCCCGGTGAACAGCCGGTATCTTGTCGCTTTTTTCATTGCACAGCCCAATGCTGTGCTAGTTCTCCCTACGATGTGTATGCTCTGACATTACGACACGATGGCCTGACCAACCGCGCGCGATCGCGGACATTGTCACCTTTGACGCAAGGATGCAGGCTGCGACGCGAGTCTGGGAGCCGACGTGTGCGGTTTGTAGGAGGTTGTGAACGACTTGATGGACGCTGCGATTGCGGATTGCTGCGGTAGGCGTCGTGTTGTTTGTCGGATTAGTAGGGCAGGCGTTGTGTGCGTCGTGTTTTGGGTATCATGGTAGAGCGGAGATGCGTGGACAAGCGGGTCCTGAGTGCGTGATCTGTAGCGAGGATGTAGAGAGTATATGGCAGGAGTAGGATTGCGGGGGATACAGGAGTACAAACTGGAGATTCGAGTGATAGAAGCGTTGGAAACTTGGTTGCTTTGCGTGTGCGATCATTCACGGTTGTTAGTGGATGGAAGTTGGGAAATTCGCGAAATTACGGGCTTGCCGACAGATAGGGCTGAATGACACGGAACATATTATGTATATTTCTAACGAGCCTCTCGATTCACGCCATGACGTGAAATTGCCTGTGATACGCAGCTGCACTTTCTTGGCGTAGTTTGTAAGGAATATAGTGTAACCGAATTCTGAAGTTCGAACAGAAGGGCTGACTGCTTGTACGCTGACACAATTCGATCAGTGAAAGGAATATGGTGGACATGCTCCTGCGCAAATTCGGATTTCGGTTGCTATTGTTCTCGGTTATTCATGCACAATCATGACTCGGGATCCCTGTCGCGACTTGGCAATGACGAAATCAACTCAACGAGGGCATGCAAGGGGTCCACAATGTTGAGAGTTTGTGAGAAAGCTTCAATATACATAACAACTAGAATTTGAACTTTCTTTGTAAGTTGAGGGCATTTTCTGTTATATCGCACTTTGATTGAAAGTTGTCGAGCGGGCAATCGAGTTCGCTGCCAAGCTATTATGGATCGTGCCGGTCCGTCCGTTATGCACGTTTCTAGCCGCCCACAATAACCAAGTTTCCTCGCACGCTTACACTGGCCCGGCTTGCTTCCCACATCGCTCCACTCAACCCCTCGTGCGAACCGTTCTTTCATGCGCTGCATCACGACTCTTTCCAGCACCCTGTCACCAAGTTTTTCCGTAAAAAACAACCCCGCCCACTCGCGAGAAGGGTCGCTACACCTTTCCAGGTCCGCCCTTGGAGCAGTTTCTGTCTGCACGTGCTGCCTACAGAATCCAACGCATCTAATAAGTGGGACCTTTCGGTTTCCAGCTCCAAACTCCTGCACGCCAAGAATATCCCTCGAGCTGCACGCTGAACCCAAGCAGGCCCACGCCGCGACATAGTCCGGCACACCTTCGCCCTGCTTTGCCGTGGTCTGACTTGCACATTCTCGCTTGATGATCGCAATATCCTCCTCGCAGCCCCATCGTGCAGCCCGTCCGTTCCTGAGCTGCAAGCCTGCCGCCGCTCTCCAGCCTGTGAGCGAGAACCCCACGACACAATCTCGTCGCTGCATCCTGCAATTTCTCGGCGGAGTTGCTTAGACTCAAAAATCTTCAGATGCACAGCCGCCGGCACGACCTTCACCTCATGCCCATGTAACTCGCCTCGTCATGAGCAACGGCTCTCGTTCTAACGTCGCATCGCATGCTCGTCGCCAATCCTACATGCCTGCATCTCCTGCAAAGCTCGGCGCGCCCCACGAATGAGGCCTTTGCCAGCACAATAAACATGCAACGCGTATCCTGCACGCTGGATGAACTCGACCATCTGCCCCGACGAGCCCGGGCAACGTGCCAAGCCTGCCCTTGCAGCCCAGTTGCCCGTCTCTTCCCATAGACGACAGACTCGCGGCATGGTGCGCTTCGTTGGCAGAGTTGCTCGAACGCGACGTCTCCTCCCTCCTGTACCCAATTGTGATGGGGTTCGCGCATCTCATCGAAATTGACGCTGCTACGTCAACATATCACAAGCAACGCATCCCACCACCGCACCTCTCCGAGCCTGTCCCCAAGCTCCCGCACCTACCACGACGTCCAGCGCGCAGATCGAATACGCGAAAGCAACTCGGCGGTGTGCGCGAGAAGCCCGAGCAGCCCGCTTCGCGCCAACCGAACACCCTGCAATGCAATCTCGTCGCTGCTTCCGGTCGCACACAAATAATGAGCAAGCGTCTATTGCATCTGCTCGCCGGCCTGCGCGTCGTCAATCTCGGCCATGATTCGCGATCCTCGCCCTCCCGAGCACAACTGCATGAATGTTCTGCCTTCTCCCCTCCATCATCACGCTATGCAATCTTCGCTTCCTCACAACAGTTGACTAGCACAGCTCTTCGATCTCGCCGTCAGCCCCTTCATTCCCACCACAACGTTCCGCCCGTTCAATGATGGAGACGATCTCCGGCATCTCGGACTCTCGACACATATACCACGCGTCGAAGACACTGCAGGCTGCACGAACACTTGTGCAGCCTGCCCGGTATCACTTCCTGGCGCACAAATGAGATAGACAGACTCCGCCCGCAGCAAGAGACTAGCTAGTTGGCCCGTCGAGCCAGGTAGATGCTCCACAAGAGCGTCACGTCGCTGCATCCCGTGCTCGGTGCTGCGCAATCAATCGTGTCCTAGAGCTGTCGCATGAGTTGCACATGGCGAGCTTGAATGAGGAGAGCAAGCCCACTCAAACGCGACGGCTCGAAGATATACCCATTTATCTCCGCGATGCGATGGGGGTTGCACATCACGCATGGACAGTCTCTTCCCGCAGTGATAATCCAGCTGCCCGCTCCACCACGTCACCCAGTCGCTCTGTTGGGGCAGCCTCTGGTGCTGCACATTCAGTCTCGAGCTGAGGCCGTCGCAGTCGCCCAGCGGGCTGCAGATGGCCAATTCAAACGACGCGCCAATTCAATTACAATCGCTCGAAGATATACCCTCCGACTCAACTACTACGTGTTGGGGTTTGCTCCGAGTTGCGCGCTGCACTGCACGGAGTGTTCCCCTCGTAGCCAATTCCTCGGCTACAATATGCCGCCTTCGCCTTCTGAGCCCGCTCCGTCAAGTCGATGACTCGGTCCACAGCATAGCATCGTTATTGCGTCGAACAAAAACTGATGACAGTCTTTCGCAGACCGTCCAAGAGCTGCGCATTGCGAATTTAAACAACGACATGCTACTTCCCGGTTTCTCATTCAGGACCGCGCGAACGTGTCGCCTCATCTCCTTCCATGACAGGGTGGATCTGCGCAGTGGATGGCGCAGTTCTGTTGCCTTCGCCCATTCAAACTCTTGTTTGACCTAACGCTCCTAATCGCCTCCAGGTGTCGAAAAACCCTCGACTGCTCGAACGCATTGCCTTTCCTCACTCCACGTTACAGCAAGATGCTACGACACCACGCGACGGGGTCTACAGCGAGCTACACGGCGCATTACACAGACAGTCTTCCTCCGCAGCCAATATCTCGACCACAGAGATGCCGCCACCGCTGTCCGTGCCTGTTCCGTCAACCTCACGACTTGCCTCACAGAGCAACCTTGTTGCTGCCTTGACCAGTTGGGGAGCGAAATTTGTTGCATGTCCTCGTTGGACGAAGCATAGCGAATCTGGACAAGAATGACCCGACCTTCCATGAGCTCCATGTCATGACCGCAAACACGTATGCTCTCCTCCCACCACGACATGACGCCATGATACGACACGATGCGATGGAGTCTGAAAATCTCACAGAGTCGACGAGGACGGCCATCACCACGCGTTTTATGTCGCCATCCCCACTTCAGGGATGTTTGGAGTCGATGACACATGCTGTCGCTCTCGGCCCGTCCGACAAAGCTGCCCATTACCGTGCCGTACCTGGTACTCCCAAACATGGCCAATCAAATGCCTTACTTCCTCCTTCGCTACCACAACATGATGGGGGCCTGCTCATCTCGCAATGCCTTTGGATACGTTCCCCGGCACGCCTTGAAATACTCTCACAACGCTGGGGCCATAGCCCTTCGGCGGGCTGAGCATGACCAGTTGGAACGACAACAGTGCGACCTTCCCCGGCCTTCCATCAATGACGGTGCGCTCGAACGTGTTCTCTTGTGCCCTCCTGGGGCGACTTGGAGTCTGCGCAACTCACAAAAGCCGACAAGTACATCGACTGAAACGCGCTACGGCTCGTCTTGAGGATGCGAGGAGTTGATGACGCAAGCCGTCGTTGTTGGCCCATCGAAATCCTCGTTTCATGCTAACGCTTCGTCTCGCCTTCAGACTACTGAATCACCACAACCTCCGAACGTGCTGACTCCTCCTAGGGCGCGACGCAATGGAGGGTGCGCCTCTGATTGGCCTATGACCACGTCTGCTTTCAAGCGTGGCGGTTCGTCATCGCCCTGCCCAACTCTTCGTTCATTCCAGTGCTCCGACTCGTCGTTACACCTACGGGGATGAGTATAGAGGAGCAAGTTCGTCAGCACGCGCTGCGACCTGCAGTCACGACTGTGGGGAGGGTGTAAAAGAAAATGAAACTCTGTCGCCCTCTGCCCATCCGATTCCAAGTTCAATGTGACGCTGAGACTCGCCATCAGAATGATAAGAATGTGTAGAGTCGTTCAAGCAGCATTCTACGACCCACTTCATCATCGCACCGTCTCTCCGAAAGACCAACGCCTCCAGATCCCAAGGCCCGGTCACTAAGGCCTTTACGAACCGTGTAGTCGATCACGCATCCCCGCTGCGCTCCGTCCATGCAAATCCGTGCTTGACCTGGTACTTGTATTTAACGTTCTAACTAAGGACGCTTGTAGCCGTTCATACAGCCGATTGTGTCGCCGCGACGTCCCTCGGGTCCAGCCCAAGGGCAAGACTACCCATTGCAGATCCCACGGTGCTGTCACTAAAACATCGAGGGTGCTTGCAGTCGATGACACAGCCCGGCTGCAACCGAACCCTCTATCCGAGCTAGTTCTCAAAGGTTTCGGCACGAGTGTAGGAGCGTGTGCAACCGTTTGGTCGGAGATCTTCCACCGCCCAATATCTCGGTCCCCTTCATTGTACAGGACAGATACCCCCGGATGTCACGGTACAGTTAACAAGGCTACTTGTGGTAGCATTTCTGATGCCCCATGAGGATTTCCATTGGTTTTCTGGGCATCAACTTGCCGCTATGACTGCCGGGATCAGCGCAATCATTCATGCAGCCTTTCGCAGCTCCCTGCATCCTCGCGCCGTTACTCAATTCAGGTCCTCAGCCAAAGTGAGCGACATCAAATTCTGCAGTGCGGTCATCGGAAGAAATTATGGGAGCACCTGCACGGTCCCACGACTATCCCGGCCAACCTTCCGGGCATCTTCCAGCCCGTCAATGTTATGCACGACCACGCTGCGTCTCGCCCTACCATTGAGGCCACCGCACTGTTCCTCGGGTCCGGCTTCCTCGGCAGCGCCAACACATTAAGATACAACACGTCTGGATCTCGTGGTTCTGTTCACAAAACCGATTATGGCAGGAATTGCACGGCACTGTCATACTCTCAAGGATTACGCATCTCGTAGACGAGACTTACGACCACGCCGGCGTACTCCGTTTGGTAGAAATTCTTGCGCTGTTCCTCAAGCGTGTGAGCTCAAGCAAACGTTCACGATATGTGGAAAGTGTAGCCACGCTCCTTCAATTCGAGACGCAAATCTTTACTAAGAACTGCGGACGTCTCGCATCTCGTCCGTTATCTCCACGCATCTCTTTGCTCGCCTTCCTCGCAACGTACACACTCGAGCGATACCAACACCGATCGCGTGCCTATCCCGAGCACCAAGCCCGAGACTGAAATCATGCCGCGAGCATAACGGACAGGCACGGCTCGCCCGGCAAATGCACAATGCACTACTCGTGCTGGATTCGCGAAGGAAGGACATGTGATAGACGATGCAGCGGACATGGTGCCAGTTACCCTCAAGCTTGAGCTGAAGATAGCCCGGACTTGTGAGTTTTACTGAGCTGTAGGCGGGTGGGCATAGCATTTGCTGATTATGTTAGAATTTCGCGCCGCAACGTCGATACCGCCTTGCCCACTCCGCCGACTCTGTCGAGCAATGCATCGGTTTTGCAGCACACTACCGAGTCACCGCCTGTCCACCGTTCGCGCTTATCCCCAGTCCTGGCCGCCGAACCCAAAGCATACGTGGAGATTGAGCTGCAACTCGTGCAAGGAATGAGCGCATAGAAGACATCTTGCATCAACGCAGTATGTTCGCGCCTGACAATAGGTGGAAAGAACCAGGGGACGGAGTGTAACTGCTATGTTGAAACATATAACACGGAAAAGAGCACAGAAAACGAAACCGGTCCTAGAGACATGGATATACCAACTGCACAGTTCGCTGTCGAATCGCCTCCCTTCCCCGCCGTCGCTCTAAACATTCATCTCAAGTTTACGTCGTCATCGGCTAAACCGATGTCCCAGAGATGGAGTTTGAGCTGCACAACCTCGAGAAGCGACTGCAAGGCATAAACATCATCCCGGGCCACTATCTGTGCGGATGAGAATGAGGTGAGGGGATTGGACGCAAGAGTTGTGATATGCAACGCGGCGGAGAGCCTACGAAAAGAAAGGCAAAGTTTGGAGGAAGCTGTGAGTTCTCCGAAAATCTATCACCGTACTGAACCACCGCCTTCGTGCCCTCTCCTCCACATGTGATTGTCTGAAGTCCCGACCACCATTTGTGTGCAGCGCTCATCGGGAGTAGCGACTCCGTCGCACGATCTCGGCACACCGCTTGTTCAAGAGAAAGATTCTTCTCATGCCCGAGTTTCGTTGCAGAAAAAAGATTGACATGTCGGGACAAGGGTTTGAACCATAGAATGCAGCAGAGCATGTGGAATAGACCACTCGTATTAACACGCATTCTGGAGAGGCATGCTTGGACTCCGATGCATTCCACCCAAGACCACCACTTTCAGCCCGCCATGAAGCCCACAAACCGCGGCCCCTCACATCCGCACAGTCTGAACCCTGTCGTAACCTAGTCTGCTCAGACCGCGATTTACGTTGCGAAACACGCGGCGACGACAACGCTGAGGCAAAGCTTGGGGGAAAGCGTAGAAGAATATACACTGCTACGGCGCAAAACAGGATACGGGAAATGCCGGATTAGCACATCGATACCCATCCGGAGACGCATGACGGGCATTTGCACACAATCCGCAGACCAAGATTGTCGCATCATCGGCAAAAGGCGAGTCCCGTTGCATACCGCTCAATCCGCCAACTCACGCTGGACACGCAAAACGCCGCAAGTGCAGAGGTCGGGGAGGAGCGAACTTTCACCACTAACGCGACAGAAGATTTGAAAATCGCCAAATCGATACACCCTTCCGTCCAAAGCCCCTCATGGGGCCAGATGTTTTGGCTCATCCATGGGCCTGCAAAGCAAACTCATCGCTCACCCGCACGCTATGAAGCCGCCGACATGAGTTAAGAAGTGCAGAAAGACAACGCTGATCAAGATCTTGATGAGGAGAGGGTGAGGACGCTTGACATGGTGTTGCAAGAAGCTTGGCAGTATGGGCGATACAAAAAGAGCATGAGAATGGAAACGAAACCCGGAAGGCGTGACGACATCACATCAACCCCGCCCATAGCCGCGACATCCAGCCCACTTAGCAGCTTGCGTACCAAGATCGCCTGACACCCACGCATTACAACTCTTCGGGCGGCTCGCTCAAAACGCATGTTGAAGCGGAGAAGCGCGGGAATACGGTGCTGTAGAAG